AATAAAGCCATCCAGAACCGGCCAGTAAATCGAGTGTCCCTGTCGCTGACTATGTGCAGCGGAAGACNTGACATAGTGTCTGAGATATTCCTCCAGCATTGCATTAACCCGCTCAGTCTACCCATCTGTCTGCAGATGATTGCTGGGGTGGAAAGGTTGAGCTGTGTGCTGAACAGTTCAAATAAAGCCATCCAGAACCGGCCAGTAAACCGAGTGTCCCTGTCGCTGACTATGTCCAGCGGAAGACCCCAAAGCTTCACAATATGCTTGAGGAACAACTGAGAAGTAACTTCCGCCGTACATACTTTTGGGGCAGCAATGAAAGTGGCATACTTTGAAAATATGTCTACAACCACAAATATCGNTCACAATATGCTTGAGGAACAACTGAGCAGTAACTTCCGCCGTACATACTTTTGGGGGCAGCAATGAAAGTGGCATACTTTGAAAACATGTCTACAACCACAAATATCAAAATAAAATCGTTCACCTGAAGCAAGCCATTAATGAAGTCCATGAAAACACTCTCCCAAGGTCTGCTTGGAATAAGGAGGGCTTCCAACGTACCCGCCACCTTCTTCCTTTCTATCTTGTCTTGCTGGCACACCAAACAAGTGCGCACATACAACTCTACATCTGCTTCCATGCGGGGCCAATAATAGCTTTCTGCTAGCAAGGCAAGAGTCCGTTGCTGCCCTGGATGTCCTGACCACAGAGCATCATGAGTTTCTTTCAGCAACATCTGTCGAAGTCCGCCTGACTTCGGCACATAGGGTCTCCTTCCTTTGGCGTAGAGAACACCATTCTCTACCCAAAACCGCCAAGTCACCCTTTCATGGACCTGCTTCAACAATAAGCTAGTCACTGGATCATCTTTTGTCTAATCCTGAATTTTCTGCAGTATGTCTCCTGCAATCTGGCTAAGTGCATCGACCGTCCCATCAGCAACTGGGATTCGACTAAGAGCATCAGCAACCTGATTTGTACTGTCAGGCTTGTACTGCAACGTGAAATGAAACTGGGCAAGAAAGTCCTATCATCTTGCTTGTTTTGGTGTCAGCTTCTTCATGGAATTGAAGCAGCTGGTAGCCACATTATCTGTCAGTACAAGGAAATGCTTCCCCAATAAGTAATGTCTCCATGCATTGATGTAGTGAATGACTGCTGTCATCTGCTTCTCATGTACTGAATACTGCCTCTCGGTATCATTTAACTTCCTACTTTCAAATGCCACCGGATGCCCATTCTGCACCAACACCCCTCCAAGAGCAAAGTCTGATGCGTCTGTATGGACTTCAAAAGGCAAATCAAAGTCAGGTAACCATAAAATTGGGCTAGACGTCACCACCGCCTTCAATCGATCGAATGCCTCCTGGCATTCGTAGGACCAGTTCCATGTCCTATCCTTCCTTAGAAGATCAGTCTTCTTTGAATAATTATTTACAAATTTTTGATAATAGTTTGTCAAACCAAGGAAAGAACGCAGTTCAGTAACCTTAGTAGGGACAGGCCAATCTGCAATGGCCTCAACTTTCTTCGGGTCCATCTTCACCACGCCCGCAGAAATAATATGCCCAAGGAATGAAATTTTCTTCTGGGCAAACTCACATTTTTCTGGTTCAGATACAACTAGTCTTTCCTTAACTTTGTCAAGGCCAGCATAAGATGCTCAACATGCTCCTCAAGAGTCTGGTTGTAAACAACTATATCGTCCAAATAAATCACCATGAAACGGTCCAAGTATTCCCAAAATACGTTGGTCATCAAGTTACAGAATGTAGCAGGGGTGTTGGTTAAGCCGAAAGGAATGACTAAAAACTCATATGATCCATACCTTGTCACACAAGCAGTCTTCGCCTCATCTCCCTCTGCAATTCTGACTTGATGATATCTCAGTCTCAAATCCATCTTAGTGAAGAAAATCGTCTTTCCTAATCTATCAAATAATTCGTCAATAAGCGGCACTGGATAGTTGTTCTTGACAGTGACTTTGTTGAGGGCTCTGTAGTCTACACAAAGTCGTAAGGATCCGTCCTTCTTTTTCTGAAATAAAACAAGGGCTCCATAGGGTGCCTTGGAAGGTTGAATGAACTTAATGTCCAATAAACCCCTAAGTTGTCTCCTTAGCTCCGCCAACTCTGATGGAGACATTCGATAAGGAGCCTGGGCAGGGATTTTTGCCCCTGGAATCAACTTGATGACATGGTCAATCTCCCGTCTTGGCAGTAACCTTGCTGGCAATTCTTTAGGTGCCATGTCCTTGAACTCAACCAGCAACTGTTGCACTGATTTAGGGACTTGCAATGCTTTGGGCTCATCTTCCTCAAATAAAACAGCCAAGTATGTTGCGTCTCCTCTCCGCAAGCCATCTTTTACTTGCAAGACAGACAACATTTTCCTCGAAAACTTGGCCTTAGTAAAGGGAACAAAGCAGGGATTAGGCATGTCCATAACGAACATCCCCTATAAATGCGGCATAACAAACACCTTTGCCTTTATAAGGAATTGCAGTCCAAAGATTACATGGAAATCATCGAGAGGGACTGCCATAAAATCACATGATCCTTGCCAATCACCAACTTTTAAAGGGACTTCTCTTGTGATACCGCCTACTGGTTTTGCCTCTGAATTAACAGCCTTAATTTAGCTAGAGTCTTTCACTAAAGCCAGACTAAGCCAATGTATTTCCCGATCAGAAACAAAATTATAGGTTGCACCTGTATCAACCATTGCCTAGACAACCACATTGTTCAGGTGAATCTGCACAAACATCAACCCCCTCTTTGCCACTGTCTCCTCTTTGCGAATTGTATGAAGGAGTTGTAATGGATTGACTCGTGTTGGTTCGTCAGAATAATCAGTGTCCTCAGCCATAAGGGCACTGAGCTTTTCTTTCTTGGGGCAATTTCTGGCACGATGAGGGCCATTACAGATAAAACAGCCTGAGTCAGCACCTCCCTTTGATGAAGAGGTTTTGTCAGTCGATTTTTCTGAATTGCCAAACTTCTCAGCCTTTTCCTTTTGCTTGTCCTTCTTAGGGAACTTGGCTTTCCCTTTTGACTCCTTCTCTGGAGGGTTAGCCTGCGTTTTGTAATCAACCAGCGCATCTACTGCGGACATAGCAATGGGTAAGTCCTTCACCCCTTGCCGACGAAGTTCTGCCTGTGCCCAAGTTTGGAGGCCAAACATAAAGTTGAACAACTTGTCTTCCTCTGACATATTTTTGATGTCAAGCATCAGAGACGGGAATTGCTTCACGTACTCCCTCACGGTGCTTGTATGTCGAAGTTTCCTTAATGCATCACGGGGTTGCCAAGCCATGTTGCTGGAAAAGAATTGCTCCTTCATTTTAGCAGACAGAGACTCCCAAGTAGTAATTGGAGGACGAGATTTATCCTCAGAATGTGTTCGCCACCATAATTTAGCATCACCAGACAGGTACATGATAGTGAGATCTACCTTCTCAGCATCCGGAGTGCGAACTGCTTTGAAGTAGTGCCCCATATCCCACAAAAAGTTCTCGAGTTCTTTAGCATTACGACTACCTGTGAAAGGCTTAGGGTCAGACACTTTAACTTTCTGAGTGCTTTCACTACCAGAAGCCAAAGAAGCATTCTGCAGTGTCTTCTTGAGCACTGAAACGTCTGTCTCGAGGGAACTCAATTTTTCCCATATCATCGGTCCATGTGGAGATCGTAGCCAATGTCAACGACTTCGTTTTTCACTCTACTAAAGTGATCAGATTCAATCTTTTGAAGTTGTTTATGTGTAACACACATCTCTTCAAACCACTGATACAGCAACTCAAGTTGCAGAAAGAGAGCCACAGCATCACCGGAGTTTGGAGGACCAACCAACTCCTCCAAACATGCCACCCTTTCCCTCAGATCAGCATTCGTTCTGCAAGCCATAGTTGATCTCTTGCCAAAACCACGCTTTGATACCAAAATGTCACGGGGTAACTTTCATTTTTCTTTCAAGGCTACATGTGAAGGTGTTTCTATTGCAACCAGTCACACTCAACTCAAGAATAAGGGACAGAAACTCACACAGAAGACACACGAATTTATTGAGACAAAACTCTCAAACCTTATATATTGAACTCAACAATTTATAAGGACTCTCAAAACCAAAACATTCTCTCTGCTTATCAGAATGCTCAAGCACCCCCTATTTATACAAGAGTAAGGCAGATGACACCCCTATCTGCCAAGGGGTAGTTACACACTTTTTTGCTATTCCATAGCATACTTGGCTAGCAGGCTTGGTCTCTGTGCGACCTTGACAGACAGTTCCACCCCTTTCAATAGCTGATGTGGAACTACCCTTCATCAGCATAAATCTGGACTGGATTCAGTTTAGGGACGGCCAGAACTACCTCAGCAACTGCCTTGACTGTGTCTCAGCATCTGTAATTGCCCACCTCCTCCTGGTCACATGCATTGAACAGCCATGTGCTCACATTCAACAGCCAGTCTTGTTTCACGAACCAGTTTCACGAACCAATGTGCATGCTGGGTTCCAACCCATGCCATGCAATCCGAAGCTATACACCCACATTGCTTCAATTGAGCCCACCACGTGCTGTCATGTTCAACCGGGTGTTCTCATGTTGCCTTGGTTCGCTCCAATCTGTCGAACCACTTAGCCGCGTCACCTTGATTCCAACTTATGACATGCCTTGGTGCAAAGTGCCACCAAGACCGGCCATTTGCACCCAAGTCAGTTAGGGTGTAACACTAATTGACTATGATAATTTAGCTATATGCCCCACCAAGCTTGAAAAATTAGATTCATGGACTGAGCTTGACAGTGATGAATCATGATGGGCAGTTGCAAAAAGATTTTAGCGCCCTTAGCTCCCCAAATCAGACTAAAGCACTGAGACCTTATCTTCTATAGTAAGGAAACCTCATACCAGAATCTACGCCCCATCTATAATGGCATTAGAAGCCGACAATTTGAGTGATAACTAAAAAAAAATTATAAATTAGGAGCGGGTTTGCTATGACTTCCATGACAGATGCAGCAATTACACCCATGCCAACAAAGTTTGTGGTTGTAGGGAGCCAACGATACATCTGAAGGAAGTAGGCTCAGAGATCTACACAGCCGGAAGTTTTACACCTCAGGTTGGGGTCAGTTCCACCATTTAATTGAAAAAAAAGAGTGAAACAAACAACTCTAAATAAGAGGAGCAATTTGTAAATATTTCCATTCAAAGCTTGAATGGAGTTCCAACCACAAAGCCAAGAGCCTGGGTTTATTGGTTGATTTGTAATGAAAGTATTGTATATGTACATGGAAAGAAGAAATAAGAATAGAGATAACCGAAGGAGACACATGATTTGTACAGAAGGAAACAATCTACCCCATCTGGTTTGGATACGAGGGTGAGAATGACTCTGATGGTGCCACCGAGGTCTTGCAGATGGGGCACCAATTCTTCAGCCGTAGCCACTGACGTATGCATTCCACATGATACCCATGATCACATCCCAACTTCCCAACTTCATCTCCAACGGCATACTCCACCTGCAAAAGATAAATAAACTGTTTAATGACATTTGACCGTAGTAGCATATAGGTTGCAGGTTAGGTCATTTCAAAGCAGTGGCCCTATTAGTCCACAGGCTTACAATGAATCATAACAAAAAGAGAACTAGGGTGACTTTGGGTTGATGTCAGAACCATTCCATCAACAATAGAGGTAACTAGGGTTGCACCAAGGATCCATCCAAAACTGAGATGCAAACTTGATGTATCAACAAAGTGTTGCATCATTAGGACAATTGAAAGGTCCAAGGCAAACTATTTGGCACAAAATTTCGTGATGATTAACCAGAATGTACAATTCTCCTAGTGTTCTCCCATATTCAAATTCTACATGATTCTGTGGATTTACTTATGTAAAGTAAAACTTGTTATTTAACAAGATCTGACATCAACCAACCACATAAAAAAACAGACTCTTTTTGCGATTAGCATAGTTAAATCAGATCAAAGGCCACTTTTGGCTTGAGTTCACGTTCAAGTATCAAATATAAACCCCCTCCAATTGGAGTGCAAGTCAAAGGTAAATCAAGGACAAAAGCCAACATTGATCTAAAAAGAAAAAATAAAGAATTGATGGACAAGTTGAAGACCTGACAAACACTGCATTTACTATCATCTCCATCTCCATTGCATCCCATAGTGCCTTCTTCTGTAGGTGTAGATTGGTAGGTGCTTCTCCTAAGGCACTTTGACAATGCATCCTCGGATAGTGCTGTGCTCACATTACCCATCTTTTCTTCTAGGGCTAATAATTCCTATAAGAAAGGCAGCATATTACTGTTATTATTATTTTTTTATTTTTCTCAATGCTTAGCATTCTTTGATGGATCTTGTCGCGATTAATTTTATACAGAAAGGTCAATGATCAAAAAACATGACTAAAGAAAACTGAGAAAAGGGTCACTCCAAAATAAAGCATAATCAGAAAACTCCAACAAGACAGATGAAAAAGTCCCGTGGAACTAATTCAAGCTCCAAACCAAAAAACTACCAGAAGAATAACAAACCTCATATGACATGTCATCAATATCTAGTCTCATGTCTCTATGCTGGTCATATAAGTTAAGCCCACCAAGGAATAGATTTGTCTCCAGAGCAAGTAATTGCTGCAGACAGAGAAAAGTGCCAATGAACAACGGCCAATTTGAATAGTTCACAAATAACCAAGAAACAACTACCTCATATGTTAGGTCTTCATCTTGTTCAATTCTCTCAAGTGCCAATAGAACCTGCACAATAAAATACCAACATAAATAATCTTTATACCATAAAAACAAAAAAATAAAGTTTTACTAAAGCATCAGCCTCTCTAAACCATTGTGAAATTCAAAGTAATTTGAAGTAGAATATAAAGAAAATACCTCTGCAATTCCATCCATGTTGTATCGCCGCAAGCCATCATGACTCATATAGTGGGTCATGCCCACTTCTGCAGGACTGATGGGCATCATATTGGTTATATTATCACCACTACCAGCAGGCCGACTATATGAACTTGAGCGCCTTGAGGAAGCTTCCGAAGAGAACTGATGTGATGAACTAGGATAAGTCTCATTAACTACTACATTGGGTTGAGGTGCTTGTGGGATATAAACAGGGGACTCATTCCGTGAGGAATTGCTTCCATTTGCTTGATTAGAGAGTGCCATTCTAGCGTTACCACTCATTGACCTCCGATTCCTAACTGATGCAACACCACAATCCCTGGTAGGGGGGAAGTTTCGGCCTCGTCTTGAATCACAAATGGAGATGCCACCATTAGAAAAGTTGGTGCGCCCATCTTCAAATAATGGCCCATTCATCTTCTTCCCTCTAACAGACGAGCTGCTTTCTCCTTCAGGATTTCTATTTTTCACTATATACCTCTTTGTACCAGTGTTTGGCTCTAATGATGAACAACCTTGTGGGAGGACATCTGAAATTGAGTTGCATCTTAAATTTCTCAAACCATACCTGCCAGCATTTGTACTGTTTCTTGCCCCCTGACCAGTGCTTTTAGCTGCCAATGAAAGAGGGGAACCTGGCAGAGTATCTTGGTTGATCAACACGGATTTTGGACGAAAAACCTTTCTAGTTCTTGAATTTGGTGCTACACTAGAGCTCCCCCCTTCCATCAATGTGACTTTAGCAGGCTCAGCATTTTTAGCTTCCGAGTTAAATCCTGTGTCAGTAAGTGAAGGGATAAGCTCTGGAACTTCTGGCTCATCCTGAACACTACTAGTTTCTGATGAATCTGTTTCTAACTGAGAAGACTGCTTTTTCTGGGATTCCTGGAAAGATTTTCTTGTATTGGTCAATAAAGAGCAAGTCCTGGAGGAACTTCCGATTATTTCTTTGCCACTAGAACGGAAAGACGGCTTCGGAGATTTGAGTTTCCCAGAACTTCCAGTTTGGGTACCTTTTGAATAGTTAAGTCTGCCATTGCATCCAATCCGATTGCAGAATTGTGGATTTTGATCCCTGTTCTCGGGTGTATCCCTCAAAACAAGGTTGGATCCCCTTCTAGGGACAACAAGCCCCCCAACTGCTCTTTTACCAGAATATTCATCCATGTGAAGAAGTGTAGACCTTTGTTTCTGTAAGAACAATAACATACCCTGTAGTCAAGGCCTTCAATTGGTTTTGACTTCAATAAAAATGTCTAAGCATAGCGCACACTTCTTTAGCTAAAGAAACATTGTTTCCCTCTGGTTTTTGATCAGCTAGAGGTATTATAAAATTGAGAAACCCTTTACAGAGAGGATCATAATTCATGGAAATATATAAAAATAAAGATTCACGGAGTCATCAGAATACATAGTTACTGATCTTGATAAAATAAGTGACTACATTTGTATCAAAATTTATCAAAAGAGCCATGTAAAAGGTTATGGTAATCAGGAATTCAGCACCACAAACCAATCCTGAATTCAACAATGTCAGGGACTCAGGATAAATGGAATAATTAATTTTTTCCTCTCCATAAAGTCAACCGAGTGGGAAAGGCCACCCTATTTTGCAGGGAAAAAAAAAGGCAAACCTTAACATTTGTTATGATGTTAAAAACAAACCAACAGTCAGGGAGACATTCCAAAGACATAAACATACACTTTTCTAGAGAATTAAATTGGACTTGATTTCAATAGGAGAGAGAAAGAAAACACAATAAAAGAATAGGCATGATTTGCCGGATATTATCATACTCCTATACATCCCAGTCTCATACAAGAAACACAACTGTTTAGCACTTTGCATGATGACAGCATAAATTACCAATATAAGGACCACTAATTTCTGCAGCCAAACAAGCATTCATATAAATTACTCCATTGACAATTTAAAAAGTTATGTTCAAGAGATGATTTCAGCAGGAAAGTTTCCCATCCTTCAAAATTCACATGAATATACAAAGGCACCTCTAATTCTCAATGCACAACTGTAATTCAAAGTACAGTATAATTTATAGAGCATTTGAGAAAAATTACACTATAATTATTCATCAATTGCCTAAATTATAGGCCCACTGAGCCCCAAAAAAAGAGGAACAAACGCTCAATAAAAAATCCCATTTTATGATTAAAATGAAAAATATCAAGCAGCACTTGGACAAACCACTTTCATACATAAACATTCAAGTCCTTATGTGGCAGAACAAATATAATTATCATGTCAATTTCACAAACAAAAGAGGTCATTAGAATCCAATTCAAATTTATGATTTCAATGTAGATGATTTAAATTATTTCCGGTTTAAATTTTTTTATCTCTCCGGACGAAAAAGATTTAAATTATTTCCCATTTTCAACCCATGGGTTTAATATATCCCAGCAGAAAAAACATTCTCGGAGTACATATTGGTTATATTATATGACCCACTGACATCTAACAACTGTTGGGCTAAAATTTTTGGGTTGGCAACTGTGACCATCACTATAGGTAAACACCCTTTGAACCGTTAGTTGACATCGAAAGTATCAGAATAAAAAATTTGAACTCCCAAACTACCACCTCAAATAAACTAGAAATTGGGTAACATATGGAAGTCTTCTCTGAGTTATAAACAAAGATTTGCTTCTGTGCATGCACGCCCAAACATACATAACTAAAGAATATAAAAAATCTGTTTGTGTCCAAGCAAACATAAACATACATAACTGAAAAACAACAAAAATCAGTGTGTACAACCGAAAACAACAAAAAATCTGTGTATGCATAACAACAAATTTAACCAAAAAAAATAAATTCTTTATCATCATATAAGCTAATATTGAAGTGATCAAAAATCTTCTATCAATTCAATTTTGAGATATTTCCTAAAATGATACTGATAAAAACTAAATTAAAAAGAGTTTATCAAATCATGAAAAGGAGTTGCCAAATACCTTAATTATCTCATAATCAATCACATGAATAACCACATACAGGCAAAACAGAAATAAAAGGAAGAAAGCAAGCTAAAGGGAAAAGAAGAGACCAACATGCCCACAGACCCATAATTTTTTCAACCCCCAAAAAAGATGGGTCCTCCTTCCCTTTTGTTAGCAAAGAAACTTTCTATTTATAAATAAAGAAACGCTTTTTCCGCAATTTCAGCAGTCAAAAAAGCTCAAGCAAAGAAACCTCTATCCTATAATTTTCCAACCAACTAAACGGACCCCCATATATATTCACATTTACATACCAAATAATCAAGGAAACCAGAAATACAAAAATTACATCATCCATAAAACTATACCAAAGCTATAACAAAGTAAAACCAATCAAAACATTATCCAATCTATTTAGGGTGGCCTCCATGAATCTTGCTTCACCAATCAGCTATGCCAAGGCCATATTTCAGTTAAATCACATGCATCAACAACCTTCCTCACTATCTCGGTTAAATTGATTAACCCAAATAAAACTAATTATGTCAAATCCATAGAAACTTCTTGTCAAATGAATACGCAATATTGGCTCCTTCATAAAGAAACTCTACTTGGATTAAAAGCAAAGAGAAACCAAAGAAAATCCCGTATCATGATATCCAAGAAAATTACGTATGCGATTAGAAAGAGATAGGATAGTTATTGATAGAAGTTATAGAGTGAACAAACATGTATACCCATACAAAGAAACCCAGGAAAAATCGAAGTTTCCAAGACTGAAAAAAGAGAATAATTATCGATTATCATCAATCGGATGGAAATAATTATTCTTCTCTACCTTTTTTTCTTCTTCTTCCTCTCCGGGTAAAGGGGAGGAAAAGAGACCGAGAATAAGAGGGGCTTGATTGCAAACAACAAAAAGAGAGAGAGAGAGAGAGAGAGAGAGACGTGTAACGTAAGATCCGAGGCTAATGGAAGACCAGTATGAGAGAGAGGGAAAAGCCAAACTAATGGTAGAATCAGGAATGCCGTCCTGCCAATTAAGTCTTGAGTCAGATAATAAATGGGAACCATTGGATTAAATTGGTTTGGACGGTCAAAGATCTACGGCTCATTTGATGAGCGATACGTCATTGTCATGACTTGGATCCTCTACATCTCTATATTTTCCAAATTCACTCACCGTTCATCATATACCGTCAATTTAAAAGATTTCATTAATGGGTTTTATGATTAAAGTATTTAACGATCACTGATTGATTTGACCATAATTAAAACAAAACCTGAATTTTAGAGGATCCTAAAAAGGCTCCCAAACATGGACCTAAAATGAGAACCATATGTTGTTTTTTAGTGGACGGAACCAAATACCCAACCCCAACCCCACGCACAGCATCCAACAGCCATCAGGAACTGAAAGGCAAACAGAGAGCCGCCTGACCCATTTATTTTCCACCTCTTCTCTTTTTCTAGAATTTAAAATTCTTATTTTTTTTTTTATATTTGGAACACTACTTTAAAATTTGATCCTTTCAATTTTAATAAAATTTTATTGTTTATTATAAAATTTAAAGGGTTTATATATGAGTGATATTTCTAAAATTGATTATAAAGCCTATTGAAATTAAACGAAATTTATATTAATTGAAAATTATTCAAAATAAAAGGATTGGAATCCTTGCACTAATCAATTATGCACTTCTTTGATAGTATGACCATAATTAGAAGGGAAACATTTTCAATCACGTCCCTTCTAATTTATTATATATTTAAAAAATATTTTTTTTATTTTTTAAATTTTCACTGACATCTTATGTCAGATTAAAAAAATTAATTATAATATAATTTTATTAAATTGACAATGATATATTTGAGAAAAATGTCACCCACACCCCTTCTACATAGACATATCTTCAATAAGACATTATTTATTTTTAATTTTTTTTTATATATTAAAATTTGGACCGATTAAAATATGATTCGAGTTAATTAAAATTCATTTTTTACGTATTAAAATTTGAGTTGATTAAAAATTATATTTTTTTTACTTATTAAAATTTGATCTGATTAAAATTTTATTCGAGCTAATTAAAATTCTATTCAAGCTGATTAAAAATCAACTTGAATCAAATTTTAATAAACTTGTATTGAAATTTAATCTGCCCAAATTTTGATACATAAAAAAATATAAATTTTACTTAAATTTTAATACATAAAAAATAAATTTTAATTAAATTGAATCAAATTTTAATTAACACAAATTTTAATAAGTAAAAATATATAAGTTTTAATTGACTTGAAGCGAATTTTAATTGGCGCTAATAGCTCAGGCAGAGTTTAAATTGGATCGAATTTTAATACATAAAAAATTAAAATTTAATTAATTTGAATCGAATTTTAATCGGTTCAAATTTTAATACGTAGAAGAACAAATTTTAATCAGCTTCAATTTTAATATGTAAAAAAAATAAATTTTAATTGGTTAGAATTTTAATCAAAGTTTATGTAGAAAAATTATTTGGGGTTTATGTAGAGCATTTTTGGTATTTTAGAAGAATTCTTTTTGTTAGAAATGGTGGTTTAATGGCAGGGAGTGTCAATTATGTTTAAATATAAAGTAGATGAAGTGTCAGTGATGTTTTTTATAATAGAAGAAATATTTTTAAAAATATAATAAACTAGAGGGGATGTGATTAAAATTTTTCTTAATTAAAATTATAAGTCAAACTATGACCGACTAGTTAATTATGAATTTCAAGTTATTGAAGGGTTTCTCTCTGATGCAACATGTATCACAAGATACATGTGGGTGGAACTAAACATTGCTGTTTGACATCCCAATTGTGGATTGCTGTTTGGACTTAGAAAAATGAGTCAATAGTAATACAAGGTTTTTTTGTTTAACGGTCGAGAATGTCTAGATCAATTTATGCTCATTTTAATTAATTCTCGCTTTAGTTCGATTAAAGATAGATCATCTACGCCGGAAATAAAGTATTCATGAGGGATAAATTCTCCGTGGCCTAATTCTAAAAAATTATCAAAATTCGAATTAAAGTTGTTTGAATTTATAACTTATCTTTGTTATCACTTATAGTACCCTTTGAAGTTTTAGTAATACATGTTGGGCAACAAAAAACAAAGTTGTATTTATCATAGACTGGTTAGTCTAAGTGATTCCATGTAACGTTTACCATGGTATGGAGAAGGGGAGGGGTTCAAACCCACTTTGGAGCAGTGAGGCTGGGGTGGGAACATACCAAAAAAAAAAAAAAAATCAATAAATTAATAACAAAAAAGTGATACTTCTATATACATAATAGAAATTCGTTCAAATCGTGTTTTATTTGAACTCATGATTACAATATAAAACTTGAATGCACGTGATCATCTCGAATCACATGCATCAAATAAATCCGAAATTTACGTAATCAATAGGACTCATATTCAAGACATGATATTTTACACCGCGCACTTGTTCAAAAACTGAATCAACTCCTTCATAATCAAAATTATAAACACATATATTACATACATTTGTATTGTTCTATTTTGCAAATTTCTGAATTCTTACGGACTTTTTTTTATCAGGGAAGTGTTATAGACTTAATGAGCTAAAATCTTCACTAGAAAAACCAACTCATGAACAATGATGAATTATGTGTTTTCTTGGTGCTTGGAATTATTGAATGTGTGTCTTACAATTCACAAGTGTCCAAGTTCAGGTGTTCAATGCTCTTATGCATTTAGGAAGGATGGATGATGTTAGGTGACCACAAATGGCCAGCAGCCTCAAAGTAATATGTGGGCCTAGTGTCACTCTGTCTTATCTTTATGTCTTGAATAGAGATTAAATACTAATCCATTATCAAAGTCACGATAAGCCTTAGCATCGAAGAGTTGGTAAAGCAACTTACTATTATATGTTTGTCTTTAGGTATGTCATTTTCTTGGTTTGGTGTCCCCATTTTCATTGCCATTTGAAATAGTGGCTAGGGTCTCTTCCTGGTCTCCAGCGATAATCATACTGAATCTATTATTGTATGTCAATGCAATGCGAAGATAAGAGAAAAAATGTTAATCACGTCACTTGGTGGATTTTTGGGTATATGTCTTGGTAGAAAAAAATATTGGGTATAACAGTGACACGAAATCATTGTTATCACGTGGTATTATCATCTTAAAAAATATAACAAATAAGCATGTGGATCCCACATATTCTACGAATATATGAAGCAATATGAATTTGTAACTCACAAAAATAGAAGTTTAAGTGAGTTTGTGTTTGGTTGTGGTTAGTAACGAAACCTCATATTTCCAAAAATTTCTATAACGGCCTTAGGTTTTCGAAAAAGCTCATACTCCCCTTTATGCTTTTAAGAGCTTCTATATATGGAGTATTTTAGTGCATTGAAAACGTTTAATGACTTTTTTAAATGGTGGATGTAATCACATAAATGACAGTTGCTCTTATAGATTAAGACATATGTGTGGATGTGTTTAATGATCAAAGAAAAAAAAAATGCTAAAATTACTGAAAATTGGATTATAGATGTGATTTGTATCATATTTACTACAGTATTGTGAGAAATTATTATTTGCACTCATAATTTATTTATGGTCATTGTATTATATCTTAGAGGGTGGGAAAAAGTGGACAGTGATATCGTTACAAAATAATTTTTATGATGGTAAGAAATAATCAAATTTTTGAATCTTATAACCCAAATTAATTTTTATGACGATGTCGTTTGAAAGTTGATTTTTGTGAGTTCTATACGACTAAAATATGTCATTAACATTTAACAATTACTTCTTGTATAACTCCGTTGAATTATAATCTTGACCATGTCATTCTTTGACATGTCTCGAGGATAAGACCTTGAATCTATCCTTGGTGGTGGTGTGGTGTGGTGNCATTTATGAATGAATATCAATGCATGGTCATGATTCGAATAGCCTTCCCTTTGCCCTGATGTTGCTAAGTTCCAACAAATAGGGCCCAAATTAAGGATAACACGTCAAAGCTACCCTTTAGGACTCACACAATGAGGAAGCAAGGATCCATTTCACTCATCTCCTTACCTAGGTCACTAAACACATGTAGTACAAAGTACATGTTATGACAAAGAATCTTATTCAAATGAGCGTATGTCTCCCGAATAATTAATCATGTGGTACAAATATTAGACTAGTCGCTCGTTGAGCCCCTAACTTGAGTCCCTTATTTTTTCGTCTGCCAAAGAGAAAAATTAAGATTCACATATGGCTATTCAATCAGGTTCATATAGATCATGGGGTCATCTATATGCGGTCTCATCATAATTATAGACCTCATCTTGATTCCAACCAAGGCAACAATACCTAATGTAGATATGTAATGTCTCATTCTTTGCTCATTATCTCAAGTGCCAAAAAATGACTTTATATATAATGTCTCATCTTGTGCTCACTTTCTTAAGAGCCATATAGTTGATTAGTTGTGCAAGTAAGTCAATCAGCCTGTTAACATACTTTTAAACAAAGAATGATGAACATATATATATGTGTGTGTGTTAAATTAACATTCATGCCACATTAAATAATATATGGAAAAACAAAATGTCATGTGCAAAAATGATAACAAGATTTCTAAAAAAAAAAATAGGGTACATAATACCTACACAACCTTGAAGCCCTAACATGAGCCATAAATGCATCTCTAGGAATGAGCTTAGTTAGGGGGTCAGCTACCATCTGACCAGTATGAATATAATTCAACACCACTTCCTTTTGTGCCATGCCTTCTCAAATGAAGTTATTCGTCAAGTTAATCTGTTTGGTCCTCCCATGGTATTTGGTGTCTTTGGCAAAAGGCAAGTGATGCCATTTTATCATAATGAATCATCACT